TAGGAGTAATTCTATATATCACTTAATATTAAACAAATGGGAAATTTTAATAATCACATTACAAATTTTGATCCCTGGTAATACCAATGTTCACTTTGTCTGGTTTTGTTGCAGTCTACCCCAATTAGTATAATTTAGGATTTTAAAGAAATCAGAGAACTAGATGATAGAACCTCTAAAATTGCTTTTAGTGAGGTCAGTTAAGAGACTGAACCATAAAGTATCACAGCGGATACTTGAGATATTATAAATATCATTGAAACGTGCTGGCTCAGGCAGATAACAAAGAACTGCTGAGAAAACATTACCAGAAGGGAAGTAAGGAAACTTGCCCTGTAAATAACTAAATAGCTTGAGCGCTATAGTGAAAGAAAGTAATCAAAGAATCACCTAATTGGATACTACCATAAGAAGGGATAAATAATATTTTAACCAAATCAATAGATTTGTGTGAGGTGTGGATTTTGATCTCACAATACTAAATCATCATAATTATAGTTGCAGACAGTTGCAGAAATTGCAGATAGTTGTAGAAAATGTGAAAACAGTTACAGACACCAACTTTAGCTCTGAAACAACTACTCCCCTTAAGTTAAGGGGAGTAATTGTTTCAGAGCTAAGATAAGGATATTGTTTCAGCCAGTGTATAAAATTTGCTGATCAATTTGTTGTGCATGTTGCACAAAATTTTTTGAGGATTTGTGCAAAAGTTGTTTAAAAATTGTGCATGTATGCACAACAAATTGTAAGTAGTTTAGTTTTTTTTTTTTGTGCATTATATATATATATATATAAATGTAATAGTGCAAAAATCTCTCATTGAATTTGTGCATTATATTTAAAATTTTTGTGGAGAGTCTGCGCAAAAATTTTTGTCTCATTGTGCACAGTTAAGGGGATTGTGCACATGAATTTTATACACTGGTTTTAGCTGTGATTTGATATCTTTAATTTTTAGTTACAGTTAGACCTCCATAAATGCACACCCTCCATACTCTGCACTGCACAGTATTTTTTCAGTCTGCTCATATGAAAACTCTCTCCATAAATGCACCCCACGTGACCAATGTATAAAATTTATTGTGTGACTAGGATAAATTTAGAAATCATCAACATAAACTTTTGATTTAATTGAATAATTTCCATATAACGCAATCTGAATTTTGTGAAGAAAATTTTAATCTTTTCTTTATTCACTATTTTCTTTCATCTCATAATTTTATAACAAATAAAGGTTCAAAATTTTTGTTATTTTACAATTTTTGTAATTTATAATAAATTATATATTTTTATTTATTGCTTTGTATTTTACAACAAAATTATTTATTAATTATAGCTTTGTAATTATTCAATGGAAATATTTGTAGATAAATTTAAATAAAATTAATCAATCCTTTATCAAATATTGTCTATGAGGTCCCAGAGGACAATAAAATGCACGCTGTCCCTCAGTCCCAAGGGGGGTGCACTTATGGAGGTCTGACTGTACACTGGTTTTTGTTTTTCTGCACAAATTTTTAGTTACATAGATTCCGTGTAACGTGATACGTACCCTAAAAAACTATAAAATTCGACTACGCCATGGTTAGCACTGAATTTTATATTTAAATTGTCTCGGTGATACCACAAATATTATTCAATATTAAAAATAATTGCGAGAAAAAAAAAATGTCCCCAGTGCCCTGTACCAAATATAAAAATGCTGTACAAAATAATAATTATTCCGGTGGAATTTTAACTTACGTTTATAGGTGGAAAATAACAAATTGGAGTGATGTTAGACCTTTTATGGAACATACTAGCCCTCCTTTTAGTGCTGACGGTTTACAATGGTTTGTAGCATTAAAACATATTTTTTATAACGTTTATAATGCTATTAGAAACTATATTGAATATATATTGAGCTAACATACTTGCGTTTATCACAAAAAATATAATTGAAAATAGGGTATTTAAGGTAATATTAAATAATTGAAATAATAGATCAATTCATCATATCAATCCATTTATTCATTCATTAATTGAATTTTTTTTTTTAGTTTTACAAAGGCCGTCAAAAGAATCCATTGGTAAGTATTGTAAAAAAAAAATTTTTTTGATTTTTTTAATGAAAAATCTGAATGTAAAATAGAATATTGATGATCATTGGTGTATAATTATGAAAAGGCATTATCATTATATTTGGGTATTTTAGAAACTTCGCCTGGATGTCTCCGTGGTGTTCGTAAGAAAGTCAGTATTATTTTTGTATTAGAAAATTTAAGAACCAGAGGAATGGATTTTGGAAAAAGTACGAAAAAAAATTTTAAATTAATAATAAGACATAGATGATTATTTAATTTTTAACTTTAAAAACCTCTTGGCTATGTGTGGTATTTATTTTTTTAAAAAAATAATAATTTAGTGGAACTTCCTGTTTGGTTTTGTGATAGTAAGTAAATAATAATATTAATTATCATTGTTAATATTTGTATCATAACCCATAAAGGTATTAAAAAAATATAACTTTTAATTTTAGAACATTCTACATGGGGTGAAGAAAATCTTATGTCATTGGATGAAATGGATAGGTACTTAATAAATACAAGAATTTACATTAATTATTATTATTTGTTCTATATTATCAATATATTGAAGTATAATACAAATTATAGATTTATTAGCAATGATACAATTTCATTGTGTGTTAAATTTGAAATTCAAGATTCAATTGTTGATTCACCACCACTGATTTCAAATTCATTTGATCAACTTGTCAATTCACCAGAATTTTCTGATATAACTTTTCATGTACATGACGAATTCTCGCGAGAAAAACTTTTTTATGCTCATAAAATAATTCTTGCCAGCTCATCACCAGTATTTAATGCAATGTTGACTAATGGAATGAAAGAAACATTTGAAAATGAGATTGAGCTTCATCAAATAAATCATTCAGCCTTTCTTACTTTATTAAATATAATTTACAAATCAAAATTTAAGATTAACTCATCATGTGAAGCTGAACATTTACTTGCTTTGGCTGATAGATTTGCTATCGTGCCTGTTAGAGAAGAATGTCTAAGATATTTTCGATTGGAGTTGAATTTTGATAATGTTTGGGGAATTTGGGCTATCGCTGGTAAATTTACATGAATACATAATGATTTTCAATAATCAATCCGTCAAAAAAAAAATTTTTCCCTTACCTGATTTTCACACTTTATTCTTAATAATTTACAATACACACAAAAAAAAAAGAGAAATATTTGTGTGCAAAAACCTCAACTACATGTAAAGACTATGTTGCCTTACATTTTGACGCACTCCTAGAAAAAGGATCTACTTTACATGCTGACCCCAATATATTACGTCTTGCACTTGAAAATGATGAAGCTAATGTTAGTTCTGAGGAGAAGATATATGAATTAGTAGTTAAATGGGCAACATATTCGCCATCAAACAAATCAGCAAAGATGACAAAAACAACTTTGACATCCTTATCACTATCTGATAATGACAATAACAATAATAATGGTGGCATTAGTAGTGGTGAAGATAATTCAACAAATTTACGAGTTGAATCTAGTAATAGTCAATCAATTAAAAATCAACCTACCACATTATTTATGCCATCAGAATTACCAGAAAGTACTGAAGGCATAAATTCTAAAGTCAATTCCAACATAACATCATCATCAACATCTTCTTCATCATCAGCATCACCATCATCATCAGTTCAAAACGTAAATGACCAACATGATGATAACAATTCGATAAATGATGATGATGATGATGGTGGTGATGATGATGACGATGATATCGATTATATTGATAATAATGATAAATTTCCAAACCATTGGAAAGGTGATAGACTTGCCGCATTACCTTCATTGCTTAAATGTATAAGATTTCCATTAATGCATAAACGTTATATTCTTGAAAAGGTTGAGGGAAATCCTGTTATAATGGCAGCTGAAGGAATGAAAGACTTGGTAACATTATATGGAAATTATTTTTTTGAAGTTGCATATTTACGAATTTTCATGTGTTAAATCTTGTTTATTTGCAGGTTATTGAAGCATATCGGTTTTTATTAATGTCGGATTTACTTGTCAATCAACTTACATATAGAACCAAACATCGTAGAAGAAAAACCAAAGCTGTTGATTAATTTTTTGATATCTGATATAAATTTTCTTGTTATTGGTAAAAAAAAAAAAGAAAGATATATATATTAAAGAAACGTAAGTAAGGAATTAATTTATTAATTTAGTAATATATTTTTTAATTTGGAAAATATCAATTTGAACATATAAACATTAAACATTGATTGATTTTTTAATAAATTTTATTAAGTCAAAAATGTCATTTCAAAGATTGTTATGACCTCTTCCATTAAGGTTTACCCTAATTTTGAAGTGTATACAAGATTGAAAATAATGAAAAACGCCTTTTATTTTTTTGTTTTAACATTAAATACAAATTTCTTCCTAAACAATTAAAAAAAATAATAGAAATACATATATATTTAGTAGAAATTCTAAAAATAAAAGTTAGGTCAGTTAGTTTAATTAATAATTAATAATAATAATAAATAATGATAGTCAAATAAAAAATAAATAAATAATTGATTATTATTGTTACCATCCTTCGAGCATTATTTATACAAATGTGTATATATGCGTGTTTGTGTATATTGTATTAGAGTTTGTTGAGTAACTTTTTATTTTTTATTTGATCTTTATTGATAAATGTATATATATACATAAAGAAATATAAAAGATTTCAATACAAAAATGATTTTTTAAATATTTTACATTAGAAAAAATAAAAAAAACAATTGAAATAAATCAATAGATTACTGACGTTCTGGCCAATTATATTCTTGAGAGCTCCGTTTGTATCCATACTTGGCAACAAACCCCTCGCTAGCTGCTGGACCACGAGATCCATATGCATATGGTAATGGTTTGATTTTTTCACGTTCAATTTGATGAAGGATTGGTGTGAATATCTTCCAAGCAGCCTCCAATTCATCATCTCTTACAAAATTTGAATGATCACCATTTAATATATCAAGAATCAATGCTTCATAAGCATCAGGAATCTTCAATTCCGAAAATCGTTTATGATAAGTAAGATCTAATTCTGAAATGACAGTATCCATTGACAGACCTGGTAATTTAGTGGTCATCTTCATATAAACAGCCTCATTTGGTTGCACTCGAATGACTAACTCATTACGTGATGCATTTTTGAATACATTTCCAGGAACGTCCTGGAATTGAATACGTATTTCAGTTTTTTGTTCATTCAATGCTATATAAAATTGAAAAAAGAATGTCAATTTTCTCATTATAAAAAAATATAACACTGTCAATAAAATTTAATCTACCTTTTCCACATTTAAGAATAAATGGTACACCTTCCCAACGTTCATTATTGATATACAATACAGCAATGGCAGATGTTGGGCAATTACTGTCGGCTGGTACTGTGTTGTCATCCAAATATCCTGGTTTGGTACCATCTTCTGATTTTGTATATTGTCCTAAGATAACGTCATCTAATTTGAGGGGTAGAATACAACGTAAAACACGAACCTATTTATATATTTATATTATAAATGTATACGAATGATTAAATATGTTATTAAATAAGAATTAATAAATATAAAATTTCTCCATATCATACCTTTTCATCACGAACATCTTCAGAACTTAATGATATGGGACGTTCCATGGCAACAATACTTAAAATTTGTAAAATATCTATTAATAAGAAAAAATTTTTTTAAAATAAAAATTATGATGATAATGATTATTATTATTATTATTATTATTATTATTATTATTATTATTATTATTATGAAAAATGAAACTTACGATTTTGCATAACATCACGAATGATACCAGATTCATCGAAATAACCACCACGACCTTCTGTGCCAATTTTTTCTTTGAAAGTAATTTGAACATTAGAAATGCAATGCCGGTTCCAAATTGCACCAAAAAAAACATTAGCAAATCTAACAATCAAAAGATTTTTGACCATTTCTTTGCCTAAATAGTGATCAATACGATAAATCTATAAACATATAAGGTTATAAATATATAAAATAAATAATAAGTGAATATATCTTTTTTACTTCCAAGCATTGATTAAAATTTTTCAATTTTTAAAAACCATTAAATACCTCATCTTCATCCCACAAAGGTGCCAAAGCCTTCCCTAACTCACGAGCACTATAAAGATCATGACCGAACGGTTTCTCAACAATTAGTCGATTTGCACCATTTTTTGTATAAACGTTTTTTTTAATACCAGTTGCAACAGGAACAAATACAGTTGGTGGTAAAGCCAAATAGAAAACACGATTTTTTGTTTTATTTTTATTATCACGGCATTCAATTTCCTCGATTTTCTGATTCAATCTTTTATAATCATCATCATTATCATATTGACCAGAAACATAAGTACAAATTTTTAAGAATTCAGAAAATTGTTGTCTTGTTTCATCATTTGGAAATTTAACATAACCAGAAATTCTTTCATGAAATTTATCTAAATCTAATTTTGTTCTGGAATATCCAACCACATGAGTTCCTTCTGGAAAAAACCCATTACGATAAAGACCAAAAAGTGCAGGATATGTTTTCTTTTTTGCAAGGTCACCAGAAGCTCCACAAACTTGTCGTTTAATAAAAAAATTTAATTATTAAATCGAGGAAAATACATGTAAGAATAAAAAGAGTAAAGAGTATTTATTACCAACAATTGTTGTAGTTCCATTTAATTTATTATCAGACATGATTATTATTATTATTATTTCAAAAAAAAAATATTATAAAAGGAAGGTTTTTGGGAATTCGAGTGAGAAAGAAATCAAATTTATTTATTTGATTATTTTACATAGATTATCATTAAAACGATAATAATATTAGGGAAAAAATTATTATTAATATTAAATAAATAATGTGATTAAAAATAAATACTATACACAAAATGGGAATTTTTTAACCTGTTTAAGATTTTTTATACCGAAATTTTTCCTTCAACAAAAGTAAACGTAAATTACACGTGTAACATCATAATGTAGATCAAATTCTTCAATAAAATAACCAAACGAGCTAGCACAAATGTTGGAACTATTATTCGGAAGGAAAAAAACCCTTCACAAATATAGTAAATTGCAATATAAGAAAAAATCTCATAGTTTCATACAGATTCATTATTATTAATAATACTATTTATTATGAAACTAAAATATCAGTTAGTATTAGCGTTGTGTTTTTATTTTAAATATCTTCAATACTAATTAATAATTTACCTATTACCATAAATGCAATATATTGATTTTATCACAGATTTATGACAGCAGCAACATTGTGCGAACTGCAAACAGGGATTCCTAACCCCTGCTATTGCAAATCCATCGACCGACCTACACAAAACTGACGGGGTCAAAGACCACTCGTTATTATTGTTTCCATCTTGTAAACAATGACGTTTGCCATTGTTCGAGTTCAAATAGATAAAGCCACGACGGATGCTAAGTGAAGAATGAATACAAAGTTGTGCACGTATCCATACATATCACAAGTTGCCAAACCTGGCCAACATTATCCACTTGTCCATCACAGCGAGAACAGATAATGGAAGTTTTGAATTCATCATATTTCCTAGCCCGACATACTTTTTTCAGTTGTAAAAATAGCCCTTTTTTTAGGACCAGATGGATTTCCACGGCTATTGGATGAGAAAAATACATCCCCATATGCTACAACTGTTCTTGGCGATCTACCAGTTGTTCTTTGTAACAATTTCATGATAAGCCTTCTGCCTTTTAATATATGTCTTAAAACGAAGAAATTCAAGCGATGCTAAGAGAGTAATGCAGATATTCTTTGTATTGAGCAACTGAGATGACAGATGAAGTCTGGAGAACTGTTGGAATGTTCCAGGATACAGCTAGACTTAAGATAAATATCGATTTATCTTATATCAATTTGACTAATCTCTTATGATTCTTTTCACTGTATAATTTCTTCCTTCTTGTGAAGCCCGCCAATGAGTATCACTCCTTTGTGCTACATGTAATGAATAAATTCCTATCCACACCATACGAAGCAACAAATAAGGTTTTCTTCCTGGACCCAGTCCAACACACCCGTCACCAGGTCGGATGTCCAATCCCATCTTGATCAAAACCATAGTCATTCACGCCACCCCGCTAGATTGTTGGCTTTGTCACAAGGATAGAAACACTCGCGACATCTGTCATGATGCTAAAGTCAAATCTTCTCCCCCTTGTATCATCATTAGGTCGTGTAATCACCTTTGAAAAAAAAGAAAGGATTATTTTAGGTTTACAAAGTAAAGAAAGTATTGCAGATCAAAATAAATATCCACCTTATAAATATTAAATGCTAGTCTCTACCAGTTTAAGGCATCACCTCCAAATTCTGTCTATGCCCTCCCAAGCCAGCAAAATCAATTGAACGAAACAAATCAAAAGAGCATTTGTTTGAATTGGAATATATCTGCATTCGAAACTGGTGATAGGGTCAAATAAACAGAGGCCGTGACCCATCCTTCTTGTTTATAGAGTGGAAGAAGGTATTGTCACTAGGCAGATTTGACATCTTGTTCTATAGGATATGCGATCACTGACTGAATGAGGATTGATATTTGCGTAATGTTATCATCCCACTAGTATAAAATTGATGTCTGCAACTGATTTGAAATTCTGCAATTCAAGAAGTTGCAACCTGGTTAACTTGGGTATTTAGTTTCACTGCCTCATCAGGATGCTGGGTAGCTGTTTGTTGGTGGCACGCTTACTCACAAACAAAAGCTTGACCTATGGTAGATAGGGGACTATTTGGGCAAAAGCCCAGATTCCCCATCCCATTTAAAAAATAACAAGCACAATTAATCAAATAAAAATTTATCAAACAGAAAATTTAAGAAAATAATTAATTTATATAGAACATACCAAACAAAATCCAAACTGTTTAGCCCAAATGTAATTTCAATAAAATTCAGAGCCCCAACCACACTCTGATCTCCTGAGCTTGGGCTTGAAGCGAGTTAAAAATTCCTAATATTACAACTCATGAATTGCTGTGGGATGGTTCCTGGTAACTTTCGGCCTTCTCCGGGTAATACAGTCCAGGTTCTTGACAATGATGCAATTCCGATAAGCTCCCAGGGCCATTCTCCCCCCTGGAATTCAGTTGCACCAATGTATCATCTGGGAGCCTTATGCGACTGTAATGTTTTAGATATTTGAAAATGGTGCATTCCAACATCTATAAATTTCCGATAACCAAATGTTGCACATCGAACGGTTTCACCATTGGTGTTTCCAAATCGCCTAGGAGCCATTTTCCATCTTCAACATTCATGTTGCCTAATACTATACTTAATATTAATAACGGTTACGAAAAGCAAACACATCAATCATTCGTTATCTCGACGGAAAGCCTTGTGATAAATACCTAGAAGACATGACAAAACCAGTTCCGCGTTTTGATTTCAATTATATTTGTAATAGATATTTATTAAAAAAAGAAACACCTCTGGTCATTAATAAATAGCACATCTTCTTCAGAGCCGTACCATACCAAATAATAGTACTTCTAGTATGTTTGTCGATGAATGCCTAGCTCTCTCCCTCGCCTTGGACTCTTCGTCTAAAAATAAATTGTTTTCCAAAAAAAAAATTAATTCGCGTCCCCCCAAAAAAATAGTAATCTGTTTCACCACGCGTTTGTCGATCAAAAAAACTTTACAGAATTAAAACTAAAGCCCTAAACTTCATTTCTATCGGTTTACTTTTTTTCATTGTCATAAAATTATTGAGTCTCAAAAGTTGAGACATTTTATATATGCCTATTAAAATTTCGGACTCTGGCCAAATTACTTTTAATTTTAATATTAAAGAGTTTTTATATGTATTTTTGCATGATGTACGAATATATGTATGATTCGAATTTATTTATGATCTTACACATCCTTTGGATACATAATAGTAAAGTTTTATATTAATATAATACTTTCCCATTAATGTTATCTTTATTATTGAAGAATTAAATTATGCATATGTGTATATACACTTCACTCTCTCTATAACGAACACCAAGTAAATCTCTATAACAAACTTCACTATAATCTTAGTAAAAAATTACATATAGAGATGGAAGGTTCGTTATAAAGAGTGAGTGAACTGTAGTAAATGTGAATAAGAATCCATGAAATAAATAAGTGTTTAAATAATAATAAATTTTCACTAACATACTAAAATAAAAATAAACATACATAGCCAACATAAAGATCCAGATTAATGAGAAAGAATTAATGTTATATAGATGTTCTGTATGTAATTTGTACCTTTTACACATTTTCATAGAATGTGGTCCTAATATCTTTAAATATCACCAATAGGTGTGTATCTTTTCCTATACTTTTCTATATTTCATTAGTGAAAGAGCAGGTATATACAACTTTTTTTTTTTTCTTTAAAAAGGTGTATATGTATGCTTTTCTCATAATAATAAAAAAAAGTGAAATAAACTAACTTTAATAATAATTTATTCTCTATATATGAAGGTTGTAATTTTGATCTTAGAGTTGGAAACAAAAGAAAATATATTGAAAAGAAGAAGGATCGAATTAGTAAATTAATGGAACATTATTATTTACAGAGCAATTTCATAGCATGGATAATATGGTTAGAATAAAGTTTGATAAAGAAATAAGTTAATGTTAATAAATTAGTTTCGACTAATATCAATCATTCTGATTTGGTTTTTAAATCACGTGATTTGTTTGATGCGCAATTTTAACTTTTATTCCTTAAAATTGCATTTTAAATAAATTTAATCAAAAATAAACTGTGGTTGGGTAAATAATTACCATTAAGTATTTGCGATTGTATTTATTGGGCTGGTCCAAGCAGTCTAGTACAATAAATCAATTGGACACTGTCCAATTCTAAGGAGTGGTCAATCCATATTTCAGCATTTAATTATGTGGTGAGTGACATATCTACTTCCCATTTTTCCTTTCTGTTCAATAGCTGAGTGGTTTCCTATTTCTTTCAACTGTAGTTTTTGTATCAATATCAGTGACTCAATTTAACCATTCCTCATTTGGGAAGTTGTTTCAAAAAAAACTTACAATTCAACAACAAATTTTTTTAAAGTGATTATTTGGTTTATCAAAGGATGATAAAGTCCAATAAAGTGGGCTGGTCCAATGTACAACTAAGCCACTTTTTTTACTATGCCAATTGGGCTGGACTGGTCCAGAGAGTCCAAAGTCCAATAAAATGATTGGACTGGTAAATTAATTATCATAGATTTAATAATAGTTTTCAGAACCTGAATAAATTAACTTGTTATAATTATTATTATTATGCTCGGAGAGAGCGTTCCGCTAAAATATAAATTCGACTGTGCCATATTTTCAAATTTGGTTAAACCGCGTCAATATTTCTCGAATAAATACTTTTTTAGACATAGTCGTCGGTATTACCAATGGTAATACGATCCCATTACATTTTCATTTAATCAGCCAGCACCGCGGATCATAATGTTGTCTTTTCGCATCTATATATCTTTTTTTTCAAAATTTTTACTTGATAAAAATTTTTTTCTAAAAAATAAATATAGAAGCTTCATCTAATTCTACTCGGGAAACTTTGGAACTTTATTAATTCAGAAATGTACAGAGTAAATGAAAATGATAGACAAAAAGCACACGAGCTTATACAGTCACTTTATGGAAATAAAAAAAAGGATGTTTCAAGTACTGGAAAAACTCGAGGCGCAAAAAGAACAGAATATCTGCATAAATCAGGAATCACTGTATCTTCATGGAAAATTAAGGAAGGGGATTATAAAAAAAGTCATGTTCTTACTATGGCCAGAGGACTATTTACTAGAAAAGCTGAAGATGAAAGATATGAAATTGTTATTCGTGGTTATAATAAATTTTTTAACGTTGGTGAAGTGAAAACGGTAATTGAACTGTTTTATCAAATTTAAATAGACCTTTTTTAGAACAATAAATAATAACTACAATGTATCTAATTAGTGGAAAGACCTAATGTCACATACTGAAAGTCCTTATGAACTCACAGTTAAGGAAAATGGGTGTGTTATATTCATTGGAGGGCTTCCTGGTGGTCATCTTATTGTAACTAGTAAACATTCAACAGGAGAAAGACAAGGAGTCATTGCTCATGCAGTCAAAGGCACAGAATGGGTGGAAAGACATCTTGCTAGCACAAAAAAATCACCAAATGATCTTGCAAATTTTTTGTATAAAAATAAATTGACGGCAGTAGCAGAGGTTATAAATTATTCTTAAAATCTTGATTCATTTGATTATTATCATATTTATTAAACGATGATTTTTATTATTGTTAATATCGTTAATATTTATGCTAATTTTAAAAATCTGTGAATAAATAAAATAAATAGCTTTGTGATGATAGTTTTGAGGAACATGTATTACCGTATCCTTCCGAGATAAGTGGTCTTTATCTTCATGGAATGAATTATAATGTAATTGATTTGAAAACATGGCCAAGTGAAAAGGTTCAAGAATTTGCTAGAGAATGGGGATTCATACCAACACAATATATTATGAAAAAATCAATTGATGAAGTTAAGGAGTTTACAGATAAAATTGGAAAAAATGGGCATTATGATGGAAGAGCAGTTGAAGGATTTGTAATTAGAACTAAAGATAGATCAACTGGTGAATGTTTCTTTTTCAAAGTTAAATATGATGAACCATATTTTATTGGGGGGTCCAATATCATATGTGTTATGATATATATGAAGCCACATATTAATTTTTATTATTGAGGATTTTTTAATGGTAACAAAAATTACCCCTCAATTTTTATATGTAGACCAATAA